GTGGGTCTAGCTCAGCAGGTGTCCCTGGTAGTTTAGTTGGTTGTTTTTTTTGTAGCCGCCGTAACTCGGCTGATTGCCGTAGCGCAGCTCAGCTGGTGGATCTAGTAGCTCAGCCCGTGGCCCTCGTAGCTCTGCTGGTGGTTCTCGTTGCTCTGCAGGTTGTCCTGGTAGCTGTGCGAGTGGTTTCTAGTAGCCTTGTTTTTGACCCTTCTGGCTCAGCTTGTGGTCCCCGTAGCACAGCTGGTTGCTCTTGTAGTTCCTGCAGTGGCCCTCGTAGCCCTGCTGGTGGCTCCTGGAGCTCTGCCTGCTCCCCTTGTGACCCTCAAAGCTCCGCTGGGGGTTCGCGTGGCTCAGGTAGTGGCCCGCGGAGCTCTTCTTGTTGCCCTTGAGGCTCAGGTTGTGGCCCTCGTACATCCAGACATGGTCCTTGTAGATCCGCACATGGCCCTCGTAGCTCAGCTGGTGGGTCTCGTAGCTCTGCCTGTGGCCCTGCTGATGGCTCCCGGAGGTCTGCCGGTGGCCCTCGCAGCTCAGGCAGCGGCCCTTGCAGTTGGGCCGGTGGCACTCGGAGCTCGGCTGGTGGCCCTCGTTGCCCTGATGGTATCTCTCGCAGCTCTGCCAGTGACCCCTGCAGCCCAGCGCGCGGCCTTTGCAGCTCAGCCTCGCAAGTGGCATCCGCCGCAACGCCTGGCGCCAGGACGATCGCGGGCAGGTGGAGGTTGCCGGGCGGCTTGGTATCGTGGTCGTAGTGGCGGTCGTCGACCAGGTATTGGTGGTCGTACTGGTAGGGCTGGTAGTATCCGCCGTTGCCGTACAGGTTGTCGAACTGGCCGTAATGCTCGTCGTACTTTTGGTCGTATTGGTGCGCATACTGGTGGTCGCGCTCCGGGACCTCGACGACGATGTATGTGTACTCCTCTGTCTTGTCGATTTGATGTCGTATTTGCCGTAATTACCTGGTGTTGTATTTGCTGTTGTATTTGTCGTCGCACTTCTGAAGAGCAGCGGTGGTAACGATTGGAATTTGGCTGACGTCCATGTCTGACAGGGTATCCCATACGCCTAAGAGCGGATTTCGCTCTGACTCTCGGTATTGCTGCTGGTAAGTCTCCCAAATGGGGATCCTCGTAACGTTATTGATGATCCACACGTAGATTTTGATGATCCGCCCGTAGACCTCGATGGTCCGCACATAGATCTTGATGATCAGCCCGAAGGTCGTATGGTTTTTGGCGCCCGCCAGCCACGGCGCGGCCATCGGGCTGAGGTCGTCCCTCCCTTGCACGCGGTGGATTCGAGTTTCCCGCGAACGGCCCTTCTCCTCGTCTCTCCATCCTCGCTCCTCCTCCTCCTCCTCCTCCTCCTCCTCCTCCTCCTCCTCCTCTCCCCTCCTCCTCTTCCTCCTCCTCCTCTTCGTCGTCCTCCTCCTCCTCCTCCTCCTCTCTCCCTCCTCTCTCCTCCTCTCTCCTTCTCCTTTCTCTTTCTCTTCCTCCTCCTCCTACTTCCGCCTCCTTCTGCTCCTCCTCCTCCTCCTCCTCCTTCTCCTCCTCCTTGTACGTTAAACTAACCTTAGCATGACGCTGTGGCAATAGTGCTCCTCCTCCTCCTCCTCCCCCTCTTCTCTCCGTCTCCTCCTCCTCCTCTCTCCTCTCCCTCTCTCTGCTCCTCTCTCCTCCTCCTCCTCCTCCTCCTCCTCCTCCTCGTTCTCCTCCTCCTCCTCCTCTCTCCCTCCTCTCTCCTCCTCTCTCCTGTTCCTTTCCTCCCTTTCTCCTCTTCCTCCTCTTTCTCCTACTTCCGCCTCCTCCTGCTGCTCCTTCTCCTCCTCTTCCTCCTTCTCCTCCTCCTTTTTCGTTAGACTAACCTTCGCATGACATTGTGGCGTCAGTGCTCCCTCCTCTCCTCCTCCTCCTCCTCCTCCTCATCCTCCTCTTTGCTCCTCTCTCCTCCCCATCCTCTCTCCTCCTCTTCTTTTTCCTCCTCCTCTCTCCCTCTTCTCTCCTCCTCTCTCCTCCTCCTTTCTCATTCTCCTCCTCCTCCTCCTACTTCCGCCTGCTCCTGCTCCTCCTCCTCTTCCTCCTGCTCCTCTACCTTTCACGTCAGACAATCCTTAGCATGACGCTGTGGCGTTAGTGCTCCTCCTCCTCCTCTTCGTCTCTCCCTCCTCTCTCCTCGTCCTTGCTCCTCTCTCCTCCTCTTTCTCTTCTTTCTCCTCCTCCTCCTCTCTCCCTCCTCTCTCCTCCTCTCTCCTGTTCCTTTCTTCTTCTCCTCTTCCTCCTCTTCCTCCTACTTCCGCCTCCTCCGGCTTCTCCTTCTCCTCTTCCTCCTTCTTCTCCTCCTTTTATGTTCGACTAACCTTAGCATGACGGTGTTGCGTTAGTGCTCCTCCTCCTCCTCCTCGTTTCTCCCTCCTCCTCCTCGCTATTCTCTCTCTCTCTTCTTTTCTCCTCCTCTCTCCTCCTCCTCTATCCTCCTTCAGTTCTTCTTCCTCCTCCTCGTCCTCTCTCCCTCCTCTCTCCTCCTCTCTCCTCCTCCTTCCTCCTACTTCCGCCTGCTCCTGCTGCTTCTCATCCTCCTCCTGTTTCCTCTGCTCCTCCTCCTTATTTGTTGGACTAACCTTAGCATGACGCTGTGGCGTTAGTGTTCCTCCTCCTCCTCTCTCCTCCTCCTCTTCCTCCTCCTCCTCCTCCTCCTCCTCCTCCTCGTCTCTCCCTCCTCCTCTCTCTTCCTTTCTCCTCCATCTTCTCCTCGACCTGTGGAGGATCCTGCGGACTCGGGAATCCCACACGATTCGAGTCTTTTTTTTCTCTCCTCGAAAGGGGCGTCAACGGGTGGAGAGGAGGAGGGCGCCGGTCATGTCACGATTCCTTCCAGCGCCGGCTGGGATTGCCCAGGGATGGTGAATTCACAGACGGCGCTGGCGCGAATCGTGACGTGATCTGTTGTAACCAGGGAGGGCTGGACAGCTCTTGATTTGCCAAAACGCCAAAATTGATTTTAAATCGGGTTATAATAGGTTTTGGCGAAAAACAGAAAATCGGTTTTAAATCGGGTTTAGATAGGAGTTGGGAATTCGCTTTGTTGGCCCTACGAAGGCCTCTTGTGTCCTGATGATGGGGTCTGGGAAGGGTGGGGAAATCTGGGGCCACTGTGAAATCAATGGGGCCTACATTGCTTCGCAGAAGCACTCATCGCATCCCAAGTAGTCGTCGTGGCCCCTGGCGTTGTTCATTACCGCAGTTGAGCGCGAACAATGGGGCCGACCCTGCCCAATCAATGACGGCGACGATGGCCTGCCCCGCGCGATCAGACGCCCTAGCGTTTGCCCCGCCCCCCGCACAGACACGCAAACATCTTGCGCCGATGCAGGCGCGCCTCGGGCGAAGAGATCCTTTTGCCCCAGCGTAGGAAAAAACAAACGGAACGGATCCCTGGCGGAGACGGGAAACATGCATGAGCTCGAAGGGGGGCGGGGCGGGGGGGGCTGAGAACGGAGCGAGGGACGAGGAAGACGGAGGGGGGTGAGAGGGGGGATGGGAATTCATGGGGGGGGGGAGGGAGGAGGAGGACGACGAGTGGAGAGGGAGGACGGGAGGGAGGGAAGGCAGAACGGATGATGGACATGAAGGGAGGAAGGGGCGGAGGGGGGGGGGAGGGGAACGCGACAGGAGACGCATGCTAACCAAACAGTGCTTGCGATCGCGCCCGACGACAAACCAAATGAAATTAAGCTGCGGTTCTGGTGGTATACACCTCACACTTACAACAGTATCTGGGCCCCTTCGGGCCACCCAGCTGCTCGTTGTGATGCGAAAGGCACCCTTTCACAAACAACCCCGCGCAGCTCTTTGCATAAATAGCAAGGCCGAAACCAAACATAAACGCTTCTTGACCCTTGCGTTCGCGACCCGATCCAGCATCCTTCGATGTCCCTGGCATGGTTTTCGGTGTATTGCCTTTGGCCGCAAGGGCAAGGCTTTGCCTTTCGATGCAAGCACTGGTTGGGCGGTGCCCTCGACGCGCCGAGGCTTCTTGCTAAAACACAGGTTGCAGGCCCCGTCACAGCTTACGCTCTTCAGGGTTAGGCCCATTGCCGTCATCAGTGATGACGGCAATGGGCGGGGTCTAGACATGTTTGCTCACGCGTCCGCCTCCGTTGAGGGCCGCGCCGAGTTGTGCCAGCATTATTTCTTATGTTGTGGGAGGGCGGCTGGGAATGAACGAAGCCCGCCGACTCGATCTGTCATCCTTCCTCCTCTCCCCTTCCTTGCCCTGGCCCCATCCCCTCCTTCCCCCGTCCCTTTCCCCCCCCCCCCATCGTTCCGCAGCGTTTTGGCGCGATGATTTTGTTCGTCGTGTGCGCCATTCGGCAGTGCATGCCAGAGTGGCCCGCTGCACCTCCGTGTCAGTTAGATCCATATGCAAGTGACGACCAATCATCGTTGGAGTTACTTCTTCGCGAATGTGTAGCTAATGATGCCGACGTTGCCGACGACCTGAGTTTGCAAGAGCTCCTGGGCGGCATCGTCGATTCAGATCCTGATTTTCATCGCTCGGACGCCGAGCCACTGCCAGTCGTTCCTCACGCCGCGGCCATCGTCCATCGGCCCCTGCGAGATGATTTTTCATTGGTGGCGTCGCGCGTCCCATATGACATGAATGATATTTCGGCGAGAGTTGAGGCAGATGGATCGTGGAATTACATCAGCACTTTTATTGATGGTCTGGGGGCCCTCTTGGCGACGGATGCTGGCGATCAGTTCCTGTCCAGCAGCGGCCTCGCATGCGTGGGCGCCTGCGCGGGGGCCCGCGACACAGTGCCGTTCAGTTCGATTGCAGATTCAGCACAACAGGATTTTTCGTGTGTGATGGAACGCTACCTGTTCTATTCAGCGTGCGCCTTTCAGATCGAGCGCCGTCGGACTCTGCACACATTCAAGACACTAGCTCGTTGCGTTGCTGCCACTGGCGGGGCAGCACTACGGTACTCAGTGCACGTCTCCATGGACGAGACACCTCTATACCATAAGGTCCGCGGCCACGAACGCATCACAGACGCCATCATAGACGCAGCGAACGAGACAGGCGAGACCAACATCATCACTGCAGAGCTCGGCAAGGCAGAGACAGAGCACCGCGGCCAGGTGGTCGTTTACGAGTTGAAGATCGGCGCTGTGTTCAGGATGCCTCCTCAAGACGGCGACGCTGGGCCGAAACACCTTCACGTGATTGCGGAATTGCCGTACACGCTCACGAGCGTTGACCGCAAGACAGCAGAGATCTACGCGCACATCGGGAAGATGCAAACGGCTGGTATTCATGATGAGCTGGGCGGTCTCTTCCAGAGGTTCGATCGCACTTCGATGTCGGACGGGGACGGGGCCATCGCCAAGGCAGAGCGGCACCTTGGCCGAGCTGAAGAAATCTCACACAGGCGTTGCAAGATCCACCTGTTGCAGGGCGCCCACGAGAAAAGCAGCGGGTCGGTCTTCGACGAGACTCTGACAGAGCACTACCACATGAGTAAGGCTCTCCAGGCACCTGGCGGCATGCGGGCGTTCAAGAACATATTCAGGGAGGTGCTGTCCAGGCGCATGGAGATCAAGTTCGGCGAGTCGCCCATGCTCGCCGCCGACCGTCGGCGGGCTGTCATCGACGAGTTCCTCCCGCGGTCTGCGGCGGAACTCAAGGTCGTCAAGGTAGCGCTGCCACCAAACGAGCCCCACATCTGAAGAAATCCAGTTAAAGTCTGTCAGGGCCAGGGCTCCCCACCCCCGCGGCGCCTCCCAGGGCCAGCGAACCACGACGAAATCCACGGTGCCATCAAAATCCAAACCTCTTCGGTGGAGTCATCGTTCGGTGGCAGCGCATCGGTGCCTCGAGGCGCGCTTGATTGTGAGCATGGTCGCAAACGGCGACTACGACCGGATGGGCACCTTCGAGATGTATGCGCCCAATGCCGACGAGAATCCTGCAGAGCGTCGGCATTGGGCATTGAAGTACTACGTCGATGCCATTCTCGCATTAGGTGTCTATCCATTTCCACGGTCCCGCTGGGCAAGGGCAGCGGAGAGCTTGCGCGTCATCGGGCTGTTGGCGAACACCCGCTGTTTGCTACAAGAGATATTTCCTATTTACGCGGCGCGCCATCTCAAGACCACCGTGCCTGATGGTGTTGGCGACGGGCTGCTGGCCATTGCAGACGTTGGTGCGCACTTGTGCGACGCGGGCGACGCTCAGCCCTTTGCCGACGCATGTGCCGTGGATGCAAGGAACATGGCAACGCACGTGAAGAAAGGCTTGGTTGCGTGTAAGGGCGACGCGTTCGCCGCCAGGATGCTGTTGTTGACGATCCTTGTGAAGCCGCAGCAGCACTTTATGTACAGTTGCCTCGGCCTGGGTTCTGTTCGCGCCTCGGAGCGGGCTCATGCTCGCAATGCGGCCCTGGCATGTGGAGGCGTTGGAACTGGCGCCTGCTTGCCGCCGCGCATCGAGGCGAACCTCGCTGTTTCTTTGGAGAAGCAATTCCTGGATGACTTGGGCGATCTATTACACTTGGATCACAAGTGGGCTGCGCTTCCCGTCGGTGGTGGACGCACCTGGACCTCCAATTTGCTTGCATTCCGTGTCATTGCCATCGCTGGTGCGGTGGTGACCGACGAGGAGGTCATCGGCATGCTCGAGGGTTTCCCGTGGAAGTTGTACGCCTTGGCTCAGCTGAGCGTGGAGACGGGGGACGCCTCGCACATGACTAATGGTTTGGAGGCAACGCCAGCGTGCATGCTCGACCCCTGGACTCGCGGTCTGATTGCCCACTATTCGGACAAGGGTGGCATGGGCAGCGCCGACGCGCTGGCGGACGTCCTTGCCCACGCGGCGGAAGCCGAGAGCGAGAACAGCAGGCGCGAGAACATCCACGCATGGGTTCGACGAACAGCCGTGGTCGGATCTTGCCAGACACATTCTTTGAATATCCAGATCGCCAGCAGTAAGAACATGCACAGGAACATCAAGCGATGGCACGCTTCGGCACGCGAGGTCCAGGCACCACCACCACCATCGGAACCCGACCGCGCCAGCAGGCACGACCCAGACGCTCCCCCTACGCAACTTTTTGGGGGAGGCGGTGGCCAGCGCGCTTGCATCAGTGAGCAGCTCAGAGCTGGTCGGCGCGGCGTCGGGTTTCGAGAGCTTAACCGTGAGTATCGCGAAGAGCTCACTGAGGAGGAACGCAGCAGGTATTTGGAGAGGGGCTCCGAGGCGTCTATATCGAGGCGGCACGGCCAGCACTATCCATTCGGAGTTCCAGAGGATCGCTTTGCCAAGAGGGCGCGGAAAGATGCTAATCAAGCGCTCCTTGATCGTGAACGCCGTGCTGTCCAACAGTCATACCTGGACAATGCGAGTGCTTCTGCGGCTTCTGCTTCGGCGATGGTGGCTTTGGAGTCCGCTATTGCCATGCCTGGTTCTTCCTTGACAGATGCGCTATCAGTGATTTCCGATGTGACTCGCCAGCGTCGGATTGCGACTGCCGCTTCGGTCGCCGAGAACAGACACCAACGCCAGAATTACAAGGCAACGTTTTCGGACGCAGCTAAGCGTGATGTTGCTGAGCGTATCGAAGTGGACGGGTTCAATGATACTGCATTTGGTGCCACGCCATCGGCAGCGTCGATGACGAGAGTGGAATACACGAGTGCGGATACGTATCACTTGGCCCGACGGGTGGCATCCCTGAAAGCATCCCACAAGATTGGGCGCATGATCAAGGCTGCAGCTATCAGCGACTGGGATACCAGACACCAGCTACTTTGCCAAGCTGATTGCGAAGCCCTGCCGCGCCTAGGACCACCGCGGGCGCGATGCTTCGAGGCTGGTCTCTGCTTGTGCGGCGACGGCGGCGGATTAGTCGACATGTTCGTCAAGCACTGGGAGGGCGCTGTCAAGATGCAGTTCCCTGCCAAGAGCACAGAGCGTAACCTTCTCAAGAGTGCAAGCTTTTGTCAGGTCTTAGTTGGCACGTACCAGCTCGCAGGTTTAGATGCCCACGGAGGTGCTGATTCACCAGATCAGGTTGTTACCATTGAGGAATGGAGCTGCATCGCCTTCCAATGCCTGTCACCATGGAAGGCTGTGCTCATGCCTGCAACCACGCCTGGGAGTGCCAGCGACGTGAGGGTCACGATCACGATGAAGCCGAAGTGGTTGAGGCGCCATTTGTATTCCAAAGAGCTTTTGGACATGTATGGTTCTGATGTTCAGTGGTCTATCCAGTTCTTTCAGTTCCAGCCGTCTGCGGCACTGAAGGGCGCGTTTGCTCCAGCGGTGCAAATGGCCAAGCGACTTGACGGTGATGCGGTGTCCTTCTGGAGTGGTGAGGACGACTTTGGCAGGCTGGCGAATTTTCTCCATCGACGGGCTCGCAGAGACCGCGAGGGAGGTGGACCAGCAGCCGACGGCGACGATGACGGTGGAGGTGGCCATCGTGCAGATGGGGGTGACCACCGCAGCGACGACGAGCTCAGCGGCCATGGCGACGTCGATCTGATCGACGACGCAGTCATGTTTGACGGCGACGGCCGAGAGCCTGGAGATGAGATCGTCGGCGATGACTTCGATGCCGTTGGAGGGCTCCCGACCCCAGAGGCGTCAGATGACGAGGTGGCGCCCGACGCTGGCGTTGGCGATGCTGGTCCACCAGGCGATGGAGAGCCACGTGCCCACGGGCCCCATGGTGCAGCTGACATCACTGCCCACTTTCCCAATGGTCGAATTTCTTTGTACTTGCATCCGAGGCCCCGTTTCGTGGCGACGTGCCAGTGCGGGCATTTTAAGTGCAGCCGAGAGCGAAGTGCAGTGGGCGGGGCTCGGCCTGCACAGGGGCGGCAGTGGGGTTCCTGGCAGCTTTCTTGGAGGACGGCCCCAACCACGACTCGAAGGCCGATCACGTGGCCCATGCGGTCTACAGCCATGTTACTCGCTTAGCTGCGCGGCACCGTCTGATGGCCAGCGAGGATCCTGACGTGCAGGAGTTGCTGCGCTCGGAGAGGCCTCAGGTGCCAGACGAGCCGCTCGAGCCACCCCACCAGCCATGAGTCGGGGCCGAATGGCATTCCGATGCGAGGCTGGCGTTATACAGTTTGTTGCACGAGTGACACGTTGAACGTTCTTTGTTCGATTGTTGCGCATGGACTGCAACCGTCACTTGATGATCCAAAGATTGTTGCCATCATTCTTTGAGGCTGTGTAGATCGACTGCGCTTCGCGCGAACCCCTCGTCTTCGCCGCGGCCACGCCGATGCCCTGGGTTCTTTATCACAGTCGCTCGTACGATGTGCTCCGTAGCAATACTGGGGTACATCGCGGGCTTGTCGACGCGCCCGAAGTCCCTTGAGCCACGCTGGAGCCCTTGAGATGCCTTTGCATGGGGAGGATGATGGAAGCTGGAGGAGGGGGGGGAGGGCGTTGAGGGATGAGGTGGTGCCAGACATGATGTGTCATGCGCGAGGGGTGGCTGGGGCAATCGCGCAGGGAAGTGGTGGGCGGGCGCAGTGGGGCCGCGTATCGGCTCGGCGATCGAGGGTGGGGGAGTTAACGCTGCCCTAGAGGAACCTGCCACCCATATTATGTGGAGTGGTGTCGCGATGCTTGCGCCGACCCTGGCAGTGGCCTTAGAGGAAACCCAAGGGGGGAACCAAGGCGTCACCAGACAGACCCGCAAACGCTCCAAGGTCCCCAAACAGACCCAACAAGCAAGCCTCCTGTGGCCCAAGATCCCCCTATGGCGCGCTCAAGCGGCCCCGATGGAGACCTCGCGTGGCCCAGTTGCATGGCGTTGCATTGCATCTGCCAGCGGTTCCGTGAAGAACTAGCGTTGCGCATGCATTAGATCGTTGGCTGCATTGCTTGGCCGCGCTGCAGCGCTGCAGCGTTGTGGCGGTGTCCATCGGGCTTCGCCCGATGCAGTGTTACGGATGATGACGTGGCAGCGCCGCGTCTTAGGAAACTCACAGACTAAAATGTCGCCATTCATATGTGTAAAAGTTTACAGCGTTAATTCGGCCGCACGCAGACTATGAGGGTTTGCGCCGCGAGATAGATCGTGTAGTAACGCATATGCGCGAGTGCATTGTCACTCTTCGCCTTGATGCTTTCATGTGGGTGCGTGGTGTCTTCCGTTTACCGCTGCAACGCGCGATCGTGCGCTCCTTGCTCGCAGTGCTCATTCATCGCGTCAGCGCAATCGCAGCACGCGCGGCGCGGTCACGCGCGTTCTTCTGCGCGCCGAGGCTGTCGTGGGCGGCGCTCGCGGCACGGCGGCGGCGTCCCGCGCCAAGGGGTTCATCTTGCGTTTGTGCGCGGGGCTTCGGGGTTGCCCAGCAATGGAAGCGCGCGGCGCAAGTGCGCGCGAGTGCGGACTCACGCGCGGCAGCTGCGCTTGGCTTGGCCAGTTGGCAGACGGCGGCGCCACCAGGCGCCTGCGCCTTCGGCCCAGTCGGGGGCGGGCGGCGCGCGCGCGCGCAAGCTCCCAGAACGGACCGAGTGCCAGAGAATTTGCGCGACGCGGAGGTATGCCAGATCCAGGCAAAGAGGACGCACCAAAACGGGGCGCCACGCAAGTGCCAGAGACGCGCGGTCACGTCGGCACCCGCGCCCGCGCATTGGCACGGCTTTCGGCGAAACGAAAGCGAGCGAACGCCCGCGCCCGCGCAAGGGCCAAACCTCGAGCGCGCCACGGCGACTGCGCGCACGCTCGCCCATGGCGCGGCCAAGACGCGGCGCGCGCTCAGCGTTGGCCTCGGGCCTGCTCGCAACGCGAAGCCGAGCCCAGCCAATGGTCAGGTTCGGACGTTGCGGCTGGCCGCGGGCGATCGTTTGCGCGCGCAGAGGCACCGCGCCGCGCGAGAACGAGCGCGGCGCCATTCTCAATGTAGTCACCATTGCCGTCGGCTAAATAACCGTCGTGGGCGTGTCGCAGGCTTCGCCACCGCGTGGCAAGTGAGACCACCACTGCGTGGCACGCGTCATTACCACTTACACCCGACAGGGGCCATTAACGTGCATGTGGCTTGTTCTTCGGCTATATAACGCCGTTGCTCTTCATGTGCTGGCGGCGGCGCCCAGCGCGCCTCATGCGCGGACAGGTCGCAAACGGCGGGGTATGTTCCAAGCGCGCTTCTAGACGTTGGTCCTTGCCAGTTCCCAAGCCGAGCCCCGCGCGCCGCGCCGAATGCCAGCGTCGGCGTGTTTTGCGCAAAAGCCCGAAGTCTGACGCACGGGGCGCAGCCGCTGCTCAATGCAGAGCTCGCGCGCAAACTAGCCCCCACCCCGCGCCGTTAAGAATTGACTGCCGAGGCGTTGCGCGGCCCGCCCCAACGGCCACGCGCAGTGCGCGACCAGCGCGCGCATCCACGCCTGATGCGAGCTGTGCTCGCTCGCCAATGCGCATGCCAACGTTCGAGCCCGCGCGGGTTCCCTTCCCAGGCCCGCCAATGGGGAGCGCCCCAGCGTTTGTTTCTTCTGCGCGGCCATTCAACCAAAACGGTATCGCCAGCCTCGCGCGTGGGGCCCACGCATCCTAATGCGCGCGGCACGTTGCCGTTGCGCCGCATGTGCCGCCAGCCGCTGGACGGTTGGCTTCCGTGCGTTTGACAGGGGCCGCCGCGCTAACGCAGCGTTGTCAGGTCTCCGCGGCCGCGCGCTTTGAACCAGGTTGCCCTCCTGTCGTCCTCTCCCACTATCCCTCGCCGCCGCGGTCGGGCCCAGCTCGAACGGATCCAATTGCGCTGGCGGCGCGCGAGCAGCTTGGGCACCCCGCGGCGCATGGTCCCCCCGCCCCCAGAAAGCAGCCAGCGCAACAGCGCGGTGCCCCAGGCTCTCCAAGACGTCCGCTGGAGGCTTGTAGGCGAGCAGGGTTCCCTTGCTCGCGTTGGCACAGTTGCGTTTGGGGGGCCCCGCAGGAATGCTTGCCATTGCGCCGCGCGGGTGCAGCGTGGCGCTGAACCGTCGCAGTGCGTTGGGGCTCGCGCGCGGGGCCCGCAGCGCGCGTCTGGTCGGCGTCGGAAGCGCGCGCAGGAGCATCGGTGTCTTGCAAGAGTGCGTCGGGCATTAGCACAGGAGCTTGTTGCATTTGTATTAGGATTTGCGTTGGAGGGTGGCGCCTGGGGGAGCAGCGCGCGCGCCTGGCGCGGGCGTCGAGGGCGCGTGCAGGTGATTCTGCGTGGGTGCGAAGGTGCCCTAAATGTATGTGCAGCACCAGCGCGGGGGGTCGGGGGGGGGCGCGGTGGGCCAACGTAGAGGAGCTGATCAGCGAGTGCCAGGCGCGCGTCGGCCGTGCATGCGCGCGGCTCGACCCCCTTGCAAGTGCGCGTTGCAGGTGCCCGCCAGCGAGCGGCATTGCACCCGTGGGCGCATCGTGGCGGGTGGGGGCGGCGCCCTTCGACTCGCGCAGGGGGGGGGGGGGGGGGGAATAATTTTCGAAATTATTCCAGGGGGGGTCCAGGGGGGCGCCGCGGGCGCCCGAAATAAAACCGAAATTGAACCGAAATTGCAGAAATAATTCCGAAATTGAGCCGCAATTGCCGAAATAATCTGTAAATTTTACGCAGCGGATTTTGGCGGCCTATTTAAATTCGATTTGGATTGCGCAGGGGGGCGGGGGGGGCAATTTAAATCCGATTTGGGACCGCGGGGGGGGGCGGGGGGGGCTCGCTGCAATCGCATTATGAATGTGCCACCCCTGGCTGGCTGGTCGCCACTCTTCGCGCGGGGGGGGGGGGCTCCGACGAGCTGCGCTCATTGATGGGTGGCGTTTGTTGGTTTCTAAGCCAGTCGCAGCTTGCGCGTGTGTGATGATGTCTTACATTGCCTAGTTAGTTCAGGGCGCCAGAGCGCTCAAATTTTCGCAATCTTTTTTTTTCCGATGTTTTTTTCGCCGCCAGCCCATCGGCGCATTTGGGTCGTTGTTTTTTTCTCTGCTGCGGCGCATATGCATTGAGCGACGCGCAGTTGTCGTGCGAAGCGCGCTGGTCATGATTGGGAAAAGGCCAGCAACGTGTTTTTATGTGTTTTTGCGCTTGTGGTTGGCCACGCCCGCCGCGCGATGCCGCGGCCCAGAACGCCCCGACGCGCTGATCAGTTTCCGCGGCGTCGCCCCTGGTCAGTGCATCCAGCGCCAGACGCGGCGCCAGCAGCCCCGTCGATTCTCCTGTCGCGCTTGGGCCGTTGGCGCCATATCTGCCAGACTAGAGCGTCGCGCCCGCCTCTCCAACTGCGCCCCGACTAGCAGTCTGGGCCGCCGTCCGCGGGCGCCACCTCGTCGCCCCTGAGGCAGTCGCGCGGGGAGGGGCCAGTTGGAAGGGGGAGAGGGGTGGAAGTCTGCGGCTTCGGTCGGGTTTCGCCGCAAGCTTCCCCGAAGGCTCCAGCGCCGCCGCCCGCGCGCGCCCCCAGTGCGCGCGCCCTCTAAGCGCGGTGCATGGCCCATGAAAAACGCTGCCACGCAAGTGAATTCTACGCCGTCGTTGCCAGTCGCGCGGGTTGCATCTGAACCCGACACCGCGCGCGCCCCGCGCGCGCAGAACGCGCGCGACAAAATGTGTCGGCGGCACGCAGAAGGCGCGCTCTGATTGTTTCAATGTACCAAACGCAAGGCCAGCGGCGGCGCCAAATGGCGCTGGCACCGCGCGCTATGCCGCGCGAGCT